AACCCTATTTTACACTGAAAGCATCAGCCATGAGCCACTTCTGGGACACGTGAGTTTCCGCAGTTATCAAGAGGCTAGAAATCACATACAATTTCAGTGTAAAATCCCAGGTAATTTTCAAAATTAAAGTATTGCAGTGATGCAGTTTCCTATCTATGCAGCTCATGTCTGACTTAACGGCTTAATTACTCCCTGCATCGTTCCACAAGTGCAGCGGTCTGTTTTTCATGGCTTCAATTCTAGCAGTGGAGAGGAACAACTATGGATGTCCCGATACAACTTTTTCACTTCCAATACGATACCGATATTGCAGCCTTCAGTATTGACCAATACCGATATCAATCCGATACAATATCAGCACAAATCATACAAACTTTTACCTATTTCATAGTGTGAAATGTATGAAAGGCATGATCAAGTGATATTATCGGAAAACAAGATTCAATAACAGTAAGTCTGAAAATAAATGACAATTTTTTTTAACCATTGGTTGCAAAAATGTGAACCTTAACGGACTGCTTAAATCAGAGATTTTTGATGCAATCCCATACAATCAGATAGGCTTCGGTGTTTTGGGGCCAATATTGAATTACTTTCGATATCGAATTGGTACATCCCTAGGAACAACATTATATATGACTTCAAACAGCGATATCAAACCTGATTTCTTTCTTTTCGGTTTATTGGCAGACTGCATTAACAAACCATGGCCGTTGAAGTCTCGAGGGATCTTTTGATCCCGCGAGGAGCACAGCAAGGAAGCCGCTCCATGGCCAATACTCTCCCGGTGTGTAATGGACCGCATTGAAGCTTACGAGTAAAACGTTCCACTGCCATTTTGCACTGCTGATGCTTCCAGTGTGAAATACGGGTAAGATGAAGACATTAAAATGAGCTCTAGCAGGAGGTTGACCTACCAGGTAAAGTATTAAACTGTTAAAACGTTTTTTGCATTAAGGCTGAGAATCTATGAAACACAGAAACATTTAAATGGCTTATTTTCTAATCCACAGTGGGAGTAAACAGGAACACAAACCTCTGTTCGTCTACATGACCTGACTGCAAATAGGTGCCGGGTGGAAAGTGAGTAACAAAAAGCCTCCATTTTCCATGTGTCGTGCTTCTTTTTTTTCTTCTTAAAGGCTTGAAGTAGGATCATGTAGAAGGATGAAATGCAAAGAGACAGCGTTCAGAGGTGTCCAGACGCTTCAGATGTCACAGAAGCTGGACACTTCAGACCCAATCAATCCACAAACAATAAAAACAACACGTCTTAGCTTTTCAAGACACAACACGAAGACGTGAATCAGAATGAATCATGTTACTTCAAAAAGCACTCGGAAGCTCAGGAGTTGTACCAAAAATATCAATCATTTTTTAGATTATAAAGCCCCAGCAAAGTGCTGCTGCAGAAATCCTCAGAAACATTAGATATTGACAGCTATTTACACATTTTCCACTTAAGGTATGGACATAAAGCAGTCAGAAGGACATGTGCACCTTACAAAGTCTAAAAATATACTTTAGTTCATCACCCACACATGCTACACAATCATTGGGTTGTTCTCCAGTGTTGCAATCACTTTGAACTAATCAGCGAGCTTCTAGTTTTCTGTTTAAAATCAAGTTGCAGGAAGCTTCTGGCTGCTGCTCGCTGCGGATAACAGATTAGCAAACTGATAATTTTTTATATATATATGTATATATATATGTATGTATATATATATATATATATATATATATATATGTATATATATATGTATGTATATATATATATATATATATATATATATATATATATATATATATATATAGTTTTATTCACACTAACCCTAACTTAAATGCAAACTATGTAACCTTTTCATGTTCTTTATTTTCTTGAGCCAGTCTGTGCTAAAACGACCCTTTACAAGGTTAATGAAATGTCACTCAGACCCTACTGACCCTGTGGCCAGAATACCACACTTGCAACTTCAGAGTGCCGGTCCGGTGCCTGTTGGACTTAGTAAAAGTAGAGCTGACATGCCTGGCGTTGCAGTCTGCTTCCAGCACATTTCATGCATGGATCATGAACATAGCTGCTTTGTTTAATTTAGTGATGAATCAATCCTGTAGACACTAATGAAAGCTGAGGAGACATTTCAGCTGTCAGATGAAGGTGTTAAAAATACAAAAACACAGTGAGGAGTTTCACTTTTGCATTGACTAATGGACACTAGAGGGTGCTAAAAGCAAGACAAACTGCAAAATATCTTGTAGCAGAATAGAATGTAACATTTACTCATGAGCTTCCTTCTCACCAGGAGTGTTTCAGAAGCAGCTGGTCCCGCAAGGCCATGTAATCACAAGGGCATCGCAACAGCACGCATTATTATGGCAGAACCATGATAACAATCAAGGAGAAATATGTATCCAAGAAGGCCAGTGGCTTATTTTCTGTTCTGTTTACAGGTGATGATAAACCTTTTCTACTGGTTAAACAAGTAGAAATCGGCATGTGACTTTTATTTTGAAAGTTTCCAGATGTTTTACACTGCTTTTGTGTGTGACTTCCTATCTGGCCCGATGTGATCAGCAAAGTTTGACGCATTCTAGAAGTGTGCAGCATAACAAAGTGGCCCAACGTTTCTGGGACACTTCACAGCAGCTAATTGCTGCGTAAAGGTTTCGCTGACATTAAGCAACGATTATGCATCAAGTGGAAAGTCCCGGTGAAATTCAAATAAAGAATTTTATCATTAGCCTTTTATGCCACCTTTATATCCACCTCAAAAGGCCTATGTGAGCATATTAAACATCATCAGAAACAGAACGCAAACTTTAATTTCCCTCAAAATTACTTTGGTGAGAAGAAAAGCCATTTTATTGAGAAATCTGGGTTCTAGTATCTTTTAACATCCTGAATGTGTTTTTAAAAACATTCTTTCATAACAGAGAGGCTCAGGTATCACTCATGAAATATGCCATCCGCTAACAAAGATGACTGGCTGTTTTTAGCTGCAGAGAGCTGCTCGTTTGCAACTCTGGGAATTGTGCCTCCTTCTGCTGAACGGCTTTGTGTCACTCTGGGGACTGGAAATAAGGAGAGTGTGCAACAAGAAAGATCGACAGTTGGAGACGAAGACAGAGGCGCCGAGAAGAGGAGTGACGGAGCAGCAATGGAAATGCAAAATAATGCTTTGCACAATAATAAACTGTGCTCATTCATTATGTACGCACACCCTGGGATACGTGTGCACCCACCAGGTGGGATTGTGCCAACGATCCCAGTGCAGCCAAACTGGCAGACAGAATGATTGTGATCAGCTTAAATAAGTGAGATTGAGCAATAAAACATCATAATAGATTCTGATGAAATAAAAATCAAATCTCTCCAGTTTACTCCTTTAAATAAAATCTGACAGGAATATAATAAATGGGGTGGCCCAAGGATGAATACACAGATTAAAACACCTGAAGGGTGTTTCAGTTCAAATAATCTACTGGAATATTTTATTTTTAATAAAAAGATCCCGTGTTTCCGAGCAAAGCCTTTAACCACGGTGGCAAACAGCTGAGTGTGCTATACTTCCATGCATGGCTGTAACTTCATGGATCTGAAGACAAAAACACTCATTTATTATGCACACAGACCCCAGGAAACCCGCCTTTCTGCCTCTATCCAACAGCAGGGATTGTGCCGCTACACTAAATGAGATTTTGCAATAAAAACATCATCATTTCTGATGAAATCCAGATCAACGCAAATCTCCACTTTTGTTCAACTCTTGAGAAAAGACTGCAGACAGTTTCAAGACAGAAACATTAAAAATCAGCCTCTGCAAGGGTGCTCTCATGTCATGACATTATGCAGACTGGAAACTTTTAGCTTTAGTTTCAGTTTAGAAGAAATATGAAAACATGGCTGCTGGATTTGACCCCTGGATGCATCATAACTCCTGTCTTTTGCAGCTGGTGATCTTTATGCTTGTAATAATCACATATTTATGAGAGAAAATCTATTAAATGTCTAATTTATTTAAGGCTTACATACAATAAGGTACTTCCAAATGGCGGATATCTCTTTAATCACAAAGGCAACAGCTTGCCTCAACTGGACATCTGTTATCCAGGCAAAGATTGTTGCTGCACAGATCTTAGAAGATCTTTTAAAGACAGCTTTCATTTTTTAAGTGGAACCAGACTCATAAACAACCAACAGAAACATTTGCTTTAGTTTGTTTCCTTAAAGAGGTCCATTACTCATTTTTTTTATACATTTGCAGCAGAAGAGATGAGAGGATTTGGAGTCTTATTTCCTCATATTTGGATATCTTGCCTCTGATTGGATAACAGCAATGCGGCTCTAGTTTGTTTTGCAAAGCTGATGTTTTATCTCCACAAATAACCTGAAGGAGTTCTGCTGTGTGGTGCAGTTGCTAATGCTAACATTTAGCATCTACTAGCTGACACGTTCTCTGCTGTTTCTTGGATGCTAAACCAACAACAGCCTTTCACGTCACGAGTCAAGATGGGTGAGTCCATGAATGTTTCGTGACAGTGTGACGTAACGTCTATTTTATTTCAGAAGCTAATGCCGCGGATAGGTGTAGGAGACTATTTTCATTTTCAGCCTGCATGTTAAACTCAGAGTGAACAATCATTTTCAAAAATAATAAGTAAAAAATTGATTCTTAGTGAAGGACATCTGAAAAGAGGAGTTCTGATCGTGGCTTAAAAAGAATTCATTTAGGTATAAATGTCAAAATCCAATAAAATCTCAATAATAATTTTACTCTTGCTTTTAAACCTGCTGCCCGCAGAAATGCAGGCCATGTTTTCAGACTGGCAGCAGCTTTTTTTCTGCACAACTTTGATTTCATTTGGCCACAGTTCAGATACGTTCAGCCTGACAGACCAGAACTGGAAGCTGCAGCAGTGCTGCTGCTCCCCAGAGACACATGGCTGTCTGGGTTTCATGTTCGAAACTGTGCAACACTTTTAGTCTTCACTTTCCGCACCTGTGATGTTGTAGAAGTAGTTGAAACAGTTGAGATTCAGACTGCAAGGCTCTTTGTCGGTCGTGTCTGGACACTGTCTCCCGATGCCCGGATATCGGAGAGTGTACGCTATCCGCAGGCGGCTGCTGTTTCTGGAGCAGGGCTGAAATGGAGACATTGTGTTAAAAGCGGTAATAGAGTGACACGAGCTCAATGAAGCCTCAGAGACGAGCTTTAGAAAGCCCTGCAAGTTTATTGTTTCTGACTGAAATCCTGAGTTTATTTATGTTTTAGCTTTTAACTGATTACTATTTATTGCATTGCTTGTTTTACTTATTTATTTATTTTCAATTACTGTTGTGTTACACATTTATGTTGTTTTATTTGTATAATCGCATTTATTGGATATTTTACATCATACATTTTACAAATGTTCCATATTAGCTCTTGTAATTTTACATGTCACGTATTTTAATCCTTCCAGTGTTTCCTCTGTGGACCCCTCTGCCTCGGGACCGGTGGTCGGTGGCGGCGGCTGGGGCACTCCTAGGGTAGTGCTCAGGTAGTGGTGGGGGTTGCCACCCTACCTCCCAGGGTGCCCTGGATTGGTGTCTTGGCTGCTGCCGTCGATCTGCTGCTGTCGAGGCAGATGGCTCCCTTGATGGCGTGTCTTTCATTACCTGTCCAATCTGAGATCAGCCTAGTGTTTACTGTGGTCTTTTAATGTGTGTGTGTGTGTGTGTGTGTGTGTGTGTGTGTGTGTGTGTGTGTGTGTGTGTGTGCGTGTGTGTGTGTGCCTGAGAATGGTTTGTGGATTGGGGGTGAAACTGTCACAATTGTTTTAAGAGTGGGAAAGGGAGGGGATGTGGGTTATATGAGTCATTTGAATCTGTTAAGCACTTTGTGTTGCATCCTTTACAAATGAAAAGTGCTATATAAATAAATTTTGATTTGATTTCCTTCTGAAAGACATTTCTTACACAGCCAAGTGAAATCATAGTTCTTATTCCTTCATCCTCTCCATAGAACTGAACAATTTTCAGGGAGAAATTTGCAAAGAGCTGAAAAAGGAATTTTGCTCGGATTGGATGAAGCATCAGATTCTTTCAGTTTGAGGAGAGGAGAACAGTGGGAGAAGATGACAGCTTCCTGAATGGCTCCATTGCTGGCACGATGAATAAAACATGCACGAGGCCCCACTGGTGCCGCTGCCGACTCCATGGCGAGAATGGAATTGTGGGAAGCTGGTGTGTGGAGCTCTTGGGGAGAGAATGAGGTGTGATTAACAATGGTCCATGTTCAGCCGGAGCTTCCAGTGGAGCTTTTCAGAATTAACTCGAGTCAGAGATGAAACAGCTGCAAAAATGTTCTGACAACTCACCTGTTATTTAAAGTAAAGGAGAAATAAAAACTGTGCATGAGGCAGGTGAATATAAATATCTTCAGTTTCTGCCATCATAATTTAATACAATGACTTCTGTAGTTAGGACAGGAGGAAAAAACGGATGTTTCAATATCAAGATAAAATGTATTTTACACCACTGGAGTGAGACAGAGAAGGTGAAGCAGCCGGCTGCTCTTCAACTTTAGGACAAACTACCAGAGTCCCAAAAAGAAAAACACCATACAACAAAAGATGTTTGGACCTAGAAAACTGGTGTTTAGCACTATCTCGTATCCTGTTCCTAATGCCTGTTCCCAAGTCAGAGGGGCGTGGCCTTAGGGTGATAGCAAATGGGAGGAGAGTGTTCTGTGACTGTGTTTGTTTTTAAAAACTAGCTTATTTTGCATCAAATTTTGTGATAAAAATAATGTTTTTGAGCTAAACTTTTAGTTTTTGGTATCTAATAGAGCTAATCATTCTAATTTTGTGGCTGCCTGCCAAGTTTTTCTTTATTATTATTACTTTTTTTAAACAAACCAGGATAATCATTTGTAGCTTACACTTGCAGGTGTGAGCATCAATATTTAAATGTGAGTTGGAAACCTGCTCCAGCGTTGTGAGTCTTTATCATAAATCATCTTCCTTCCCTGCTGAACGCGCAGTGAGCACGGTGTAATATAGGTGATATATAAGCCATTTTCCACTGCTTCCCGGTTCATGTATCTCCTTTATTCCTCCTTGGTGGACGAGAAATAATCTATTGACAAAGATTCACTCGCTGCTCACAATAATACAGCGCAGCTAAGCTTTGAGCTCTCTGAGCCTCAGGGACATTATTTGTGACAAGAAAAACCACATCAAAATACAGTAAATCTCGCTGGGTTCCTGAAAAATCAGTTTCTCATATCTAATCAATGCCAGGTGGCTGAGCTGCAGCTTTCTGATCTGGAGTCAGCTCTCACCATGCTGCAGCGGCTCCAGGAGCCCCAGTCATTTAGGACGCAGTCCTCAGGGCAGGGCAGCCGGCTCTCCCTGGCCCCCAGGGGCATCTCCTCTGGGTCGCACAAGTAATCTTCCACTGACTCAGATGGTCCGTCCACGGTGTTCAACATACACCTGCAGGGTCAGACACAAACAGTGTAAACCATCACGTAAAACTTCTGTTTGGAGTGACTTTATTTTTCAACCGAACACAGGTGGAAACTATTTTATTCTTCATCATGTGCTTTCTATGTTGAAATGAATTACTACAAAAACATAAAAAAATTAAATTACAATTTAAAACAACTAGTTTTCCTTTGTAAATAATTAATTTTGCTGTAAAAATATTCTATTAAATAGTTATTTAAAGTTTCTCCTCCAAAGAAAAATGATAAACACACACAAAAAAAGATCTCTTACATCTGTCTGATGTAGCCTCTACTCACAGGTCTCACAAATCTCAGTTTTCACTCAATGCATCATCTTGGCCAAAAAACATTGAGATTTTTTATCACCACTTAGGTCTGGTGTGACCTTTATTGGTGTATTCCTTATTTTATTTCACATAAGTAATAGTTTTGGCTTTACTTTTACAGCAATCCTTGTTCACACCTCAGATCGGACAAGCTAGGTGGTTGAATTTTATTTTATCACGTTCATCATGGTAAAACCTCCGAAGAAACAAACAAAAGCTTTATCTGATGAAGCTAAAACGAGAAAAAGAACATCCGACCAAAAGAAGGTTCAAACAAGAGTCAACGTCGGGAAAGAGCCTCAGACACAAGCAAGGATTCAAAATGGAGGCAGACCTCGCGATTGTACTATAGCACTTGTAAGAATAACTTTAATATGTGGTCTGCTGAAAACACAGGCGCACAGCGAAGGGGATGGGAAACAGATCATTGTAAAAACACCATGGAGTGATAAACTAAAACAAAACTATAGTGTCCCTTTAAAGGGGACCTATGATGACTTTTTTCTTATGTTATTTATACATTTAAATTTATATTTTACATATATCTTTATAGTTCTATGGTCAACACAAAACATGTTCATGAACTTCTTTGCATTAAGTCCCTCTCACAATTGACATTTTCAGTACCTTCCACAATAAACCATTTCAGGGCTATGCCACTTTAATAAGAACAAGTTGGAGCTGGCCACGCCCATCCATCCCCCGCTCCTGCTGCTATAAGCTGAGAAGCTCTGATATCCGAGGGGGGCTTGACATACTCTCTGGCACATGAGATGTGATTCTATGCTAACTTCCTCATTTGTGACATCACAAACGGAGACTTTTTGAAAAGACTTGTTTTAGGCAATCCAAACAATGACAGAAAACCAACGGATGAGTTTTTTTTTAATTGTTTGGAGTGTTTATAGAAGCAGCAGAGACCGACATGGCAGCAGAAAAGGATGCAAAAGTGTTTTGCATATTATGTCCTATGTGGATATTGAGCCTTATATAAACACCCACAGAAACAGCCAGAAGGAGCTGCATGCTTGTGAATACCTGACTTTTCTGGTCTGAACTCCTTCCCCACAGTTCTCCTTTAGATCCACGTTGCTAACTTTCCACACGCTCCAGGGCTCGGCGACCCACACATACTGATTACAGTCGCTCTGACACGGCACCACCTCATAAACCTGGGGGAAAGAATCACTTTTAGCCCCCCAGAACAGAAATATAAGACTTTTTATTCACAACTTTCCCTCTGTGAGACAAATCTAACTTTTAAAAACGTATAAACGGAGATATCTGTGTTTTAGTTTTATGCTCATTTCTATTCCCCTGGAGTTAAAGTTCATTTAAATGCGAAGCTTGTTTACTCACTCTGAGGATGCTGTGTCTGTGTTTATTTGTCAGTCACTGACCCACTGACATAAATGACACTTTACATCTCTGACTACTTTACAAATAGCTGAGGAGAGCAGCTCTTACCTGGGCCTGAGGCAATGAGTCACATCCAGTGAGGGTTGCAGTGGATTAAAGAGAGACAGATGGATTAATGAACACAAGCCAACAGCTGATGGTGCAGAGCCTATGACTAACGCAACTTTTCAGAGAGAACATAATCAGAAAAGCCTCTGGCATGAACACCTATGTGAACTTAAATATAAAAACACACATGCTGCAAAGACAACCTCAGTCTGAATCTGCTGATACTCACAAATCATCAAGTATCCAACCATCTGTTATAAAGTCACTGATTAATCTGAAGTAAAAAAAAAAGAGCCTCCTCATGAATAATTCCTCTCTTTCCTAAACCGAATAGACCTTTATAAAATGTAGCCTCCCATGCCTCGGTACCTGATTGATGTGGTCCAGTTTTGGACACGGCCGGCCTCCGTTGTAAGGTTTCTCTCTGAGCCATTTGGAGCGAACTTTGACTCCACTTCCACAAGATTTGCTGCAGCGCGACCAGTTGGACCATTCGCTGAGCTTACAGTCTGACGGACAGGGGATGATGCACGCCTCCTCGATGTAACCTGAAAGACAAAAGGAGATGTTTCACTGCATCTAAACATTATTATTGTTGTCTTTACCAACAGACTGAGTTTTCCTAGTTCATCACAATAACCTGCTCTATATGACCCCTGCAAGCAAATAAACGATGCTTCCTGGTCTGATCCAAATGTACAGCCTGAAATAAAAACAGTCTACTCTCAAATGGCTACTTTAAAACACAAGTGGAAAAAATGACCTCAGTAATTGTGTTTAGAGCAGCCTTCATAATTCTCATCCATTCTTTCTGCAGCTCATGCAATAGCCAACACACTGGTGTGTTTCTGAAGCTTCTTCCACCCTCAGGCTTTAATTTCCTTTGCCTTCTCCATTAGTAGAGAAAACCCAGACTACAGATAAATGTCTGTCTTCTTAAGAACATTTTGGCATTGCTCGTTACATCTGTGTTTAGAAAATCCTTTTAAATTTCTAGCAGACAGCGTCTGCAACATTTTCTGGGTTATGTAACAGAAAAACCGTTTGACCTTTCATTAAGAAAATCGATGGAATGAGTCGGGAACATCAAGTGTCCCTCTAGGTGTCCAGCTGCTACCTCATGTGAGCTTTTCAGACCTCTTTGCTGTTCTGAGAGACTCACTGAAAGCTCACTTCTTCTCATTTAAACAAAGCTTTTACAGACTTAGTGTTTGTTATTGCTTTTAATGCATGGTTTTGATGTTTCTCACTTTTTTCATGGAAAATGCTTTCATCCTGATGCCTCATGACAGTCCACTGAATTTAATTCATTTTATTTATTTAGCACCAATTCACAACCCTAACCCTAACCAAATACAAGTAGTTCATTTGCATAAGGAACGAGAAGGTGTTTTTGATGTAAGCAGCACATCAGAGCTAGCCTAGAAATCTAAACAGACAGTAGCAGAAGCCAAAGGATTTTGCTCTGCATGCCGGTCTAGCCATGCTACCAGTGGCGGACTGGCCATCTGTGAGTTCTGGAGAATCTCAGAACGGTGTGCTCTAGGGTCGGTATCGGGCTTTCACCTCCTCCCCACCCGTCGGAGATCCCCCTCATAGGATCCAGCAGGCTTGAGGAATGTCCTCCCTCTCATTTATTTGTCAAAATCTCAGCAATTTCTGATAGAATTATCTCTGCGTCCTCAAGCACCAGCCAGCCACAGTCCCCCCCAGTGCCACCCCTCCCAATATGCCGGACTCGCACTCTATGAGGGGCCACATTTTGTGCTGAGCGAGCAGCTCCATCAGCCCTCGCACAGGAGAGAATAAATAGAGACGAGTTATCCGACACTCCGCACGTTCCTGCAATGACTGACAGCAGCAGCACCTGATTGACCAGTGGTTAAATGCACCGACAGGCAGGTGGATTCATGGAGAAAAAGAAAAAACAATTTTATTTATAGCGCCTCTCAAGATAAAAATCATGAGGCACTTCACGAGAACAAAAATTGTAACTTAAAAAAGACCTGGATAAATGACATCCAAATGAAGTAGTGAGTAAGCACAAGAGAGAACATGTCAAAACAAGAGTTTTCCATTTGAAAGTGGGCATTTTGTTGGGTAAGAAAACAACAACTTTGTGGTCACAAACATCCCAGCTGCTGCTCATGAGACAAGAGAGAGGATAAATCTGTCTGGATGTGAACTGGAGATTAGATTTTACATCAGTCCTAGTTATCATAAATTCAACATCTACGCATAATCTTCACCTCTTTCTTATTTTTAATCAGTCTTATACTTAGGTTCATATTTAGCCTTTCAATCTATGGTATCAATAATATTGGTGTATATAATATGTAGGATCCATCCATACATATGGCCTAAGTCTGTCTGTCTGAGCTCAGAAGCAGCACAGCATCAGATGACCTCATTGATGACTTTGTATCCAGAAAAAGGAGATGTGTACATCTGCAAAAGGCTTCTGCCATTGTTGAAAAATGCTGTTTATTTAACCTGTGCCCATTGTAATCCTAATAGGCACTAATGATAGTCATTTAGCAATAGGAAAGCCACAAAATAAACCCCCATAGAAATAGTCTTTTATCAAAGTTTCACACATCAGGTAAAGGTTTCACCAATCAGAAATTAAGATTTTAGGAAGCTGCTATTAGAATAATAACAACATCAATAACAATAATCCAGTCCAGGTTGGGATTGTCCAGGTTCTGTAGTTTTTGATCTAGACCAGTCTCAATGTGGTCCAGAAGCCAAAAAGCTAAAATATCATTTTACTAAACTTTCTCAAATCACAATGTTTGACAGAATCTGACACTGGTGTAGAATATCCCAGTCCAAGTTTGAAATGTCTAGGTGTTGTCGCTTTTGGAGCAGATTAAAAATGCTTTGTCTAAGGCGGTATACTTATCTCCACTTCAAACACTGCTCCTACCCCTTGGAAAACAAAGCTCACGAGACATTGTTTGATGTCCAAAAGCACACAGAAACAGTTTGAAGACAACTGTAGACTAAGCTCTGTCGATGGGTCGTGTCCAGACTATATATTCACATATATACAGGTAAGATGACTTGCCAGACTACATCAGGGAACCATTTCAGCAGAATTCCATTGCTAAGCTGAAATGGTAAATGACTTGTATTTGATAAAGTGCCTTCTAGGGTTGTAAACCCCCCAAGGTGCTTTACAACACAGCCAGACATTCACCTACACACACATTCACACACAGGTGGTAATGAGCTACACTGTTACCAGGGCTAGAGCTACGGGGGAGCTAGGGGGAGCCCGGCTTCCCCAAAAGGGTGGTGGACTCCCTTGGAAGCCCTCGATTGACACACCCAGTAGGAGCCCCAAAACTGATCCAGTCCCTTTGAGAAATATTTTCATAGAATTATGCTTCATATTTAATCTTTGCCCTGCTCAGTCTGGCATCCACATGTAACAACTCAGTCTGCAGGACTTCACACCGATGGTTGCACTGCTCCCACCTCTTTCATCTCTGTGATTTTTCACAATTTCTTCTTGCAGGTCTGTACTTTTCTCAAACTCATGTTTTTTTTCACTCTGATAAACAACAAAAATGTTTATTTATTTAAATGGGTCTTACTTACTGCTCATCTGCAGCAATAGCCTTAAAACTCAAGTGTATTGTAAAGTAAATTGTAGCAGCTGCTCATGGATGACAGACTCGGACAGTCCAGACCACATCAGGAAGTATCGATCAAAAAGATGTGTTGATAGGAATAAAGAATGCTGTTTTTTATGATTTGTCCACATTAACACTGATGCACAGCAAGTTGTCCACTAAGGAAGAATGTTAGTTCTTGCATGATTTATTTTTTCTTAAATTGGTTGAGGTCAAAACCGTAGCAAAACAGAATGGATCACTGAGAGGTGAGGGGAAGAGGTCTGCTGAAGACACGTTACAGTTTGAACTCTTTGCACAAACATTATGCTTAAATTGAAATATACTAGAAATATATTAGAAAATATTGTCTTTTGGTGACCTTACATCAGCCTGATTACCTCAGTCCACGGGCATGCACATGTCCTCTAAAGTGCCCGTTTTACCTCTGACCTTCACGCTCTGAGACTCTGTCACTCTACATCATCGATGCTGCCACCTTCTTCAGGAGCTTCAGCACCTGAGGTTGCATTCACTGCCAGTTTAACTGATATGGTGCTTTTCTCTCTCGGGAAGCTTTTAAGCCCGAGTGCATGCATGACATCAGTCGAAATGCCTTTAGAAATCAATTTGCAACCTGACACAAGTCCCCAGCTGAAGTTCCCAAGAGCAGTTGTCACGCCTGCAAAAAGCCCCAACAGCCAGAAAGCCAATTTTGCCTGATAATATGAGCAGTTTACCACCACTGCTCCTAAATGCCCTAATGGCATTCAGGAAAAGTACAAAACAGCCTTCATTTAGAAACGAGACTCAGAGGAACAGCAGTCAGTTCTAAGAAAATGTGCTTTTTATTTAAATCAACAAGGTTACAATTTTTAATTGACATTTACACCTGAAAGGACATGTCCTTTCAAATGAACAACAAATGTCCTAACAAATGGTCTGGAAGGTGCTCTACAAATAAAATTTGATTGATTGATTGATTTGAAATGACTGATTACATATATTTTAGAGCTGGGCGATATGGCCTAAAATCAATATCACGGTATATCGAGGGGTTCACCTCCATAACGATAAACGGACGATAACTATGCGCAAAAACAACAGTTGTTAACTAGATGGAGGTGTCACCTCATGTGACCTGAGGTGGTACAGCTTCTTAAAGGGACATGAACGTCGCCTACCTACACACATCTGTCCATTTTTTAATTACTGAATTCACTGACATGGGAAAAACGTTCAGAGTGAGAAATTTTGATAATGATGCATTTTGGATTCATTGCCCAGCCCTAATACGTAAGTGTATGTATGTATGTATGTATGTATGTATGTATGTATGTATATATATATGTATATATACATATATATATATATATATATATATATATATATATATATATATATATATATGTGTGTGTGTGTGTGTGTGTGTGTATGAGCTGCACGGTACAATTGGCAGCTCTAGCCTTGCAATTAGAAGGCTGCAGGTTCGAATCCTAGATGCAGCCTATCTTTATGGAGTTATCTCAGTGATGGAAAGTAACAAGTACTTGTACTTTGTTTCTGAACAATTATGTACTGTGCCACGAGCGCAGGTGAGGTGAGCGGAGGTGAGGATCCAAACGCAGGTGAAGAAGGCAGGTAGGCAGACAGGAACGGTTTAACAAGGTCTTAATGGAGGAGTTGACTCGAGTGGAGGCACTGAAGGCACCGGCTGGAGTGGAGGCAGTGAAAGAGCTGACTTGCCCGGAGGGAGGACCGCCGGAACCAGGATCCTCGGAGGCGGGACCGCCGACTGGACTGAAGGCGGAGCTGCCGCGGGAGGGGCCGCCGACTGGAGTGGAGGCCGGGTTTAAATACATGAGGAGCTGGGGCCTTAGGTGATTGGGAGACGAGAGGCAGGTGGGAGCCACTAACACGGACACAGG